GCGGCCCCCATGGCCTCTGTCCCCCCCGGAGCGGCCTCGGGCCCCCTGCCCTTCTTCCAGTTCAGGCCGCGACTGGAGAGCGTGGACTGGAGGCGGCTGAGCGCCATCGACGTGGACAAGGTGGCGGGCGCTGTGGACGTCCTGACGCTGCAGGAGAACATCATGAACATCACCTTCTGCAAGCTGGAGGACGAGAAGTGCCCACACTGCCAGTCGGGGGTAGACCCGGTGCTGCTGAAGCTGATCCGCCTGGCGCAGCTCACCATCGAATACCTAATGCATTCCCAGGAGTTCCTCACCTCCCAGCTGAACCTGGTGGAGGAGAGGCTGCGCCTGAGCCTCATCGACTATGAGCAGAGCAAGCAGCTGCTCAGCAAGCAGGCTGGCGAGATCAAGCTGCTCAAGGACGAGTGTAAACGCAGGAAGAAGATGCTGTCCACGCAGCAGCTAATGATAGAGGCCAAAGCCAGCTATTACCAGGTGGGGCACGGTGCCGGGCCAGGTCACTTTAGGAGACCTAACCCCTCCACTCTTCCCAGAGAGTTGTCCCTCAGAGAAAATAGGTTAAGGCGAAAATATTCATTTTAATCAACAGAGAAAGTGTTTCGTTACCTTCTGCAGCCACCAAGGGATTGGTAATCAGGTACCTGCTATTGCCTGCAGGGCTTATGAAGTTATCCAAATGTTGGTGGTTGAGCCTGTTTCCTCCTTAGGATAGATGTTGTGAAAAAAATCAGTTGTGTGCAAATTGCTATTGAGGTTGGCACCCAAATGACCCGGAGTATAATCCAATATGTGATGCCCCCTCCCTGCAACCTTTTTTTAAAGTTTGAAGTTTTTCCCAAATGACAAAGTGTCAGAGTAGATCCCTATCATCTGCATTAGTCACACTTCTGCTAGCCATGTTTTCTTCCTACACAGAAACCATCTCACAGTGAGTTGTAGACTCCCGAAGTTTAAATGTGCGCAGTTACCAAGGGCAAGGATACTAACATTAGCCTTTAAAGAATTAGACGCCTTTTGAATCTGATCATCTAACCCCTGTTACAAATTAGACGTTGGACCCAGGATAAATATTGGGATTTTGAAATCAATGTACAGGTTGAGTGTCTCTTGCTTTGAAATGCCTGGGACCAGAAATGTTGTGAAATTTGGAATGGCTGCGTTCATTGAATGAGCTATCTTGGGGCTGGAACTCAAATCTAAATGCTTGTGTGTTTATGTGCCTGTGTCTACATGATCAAGTTTGGGTGCACAAGGAGTCCAGAGAGTGCCAGAGCTCTTGGAACTGGAGTTACAGGTGGTTTGTGAGTCACCCGACTGTGGTGCTGGGACTCCAGCCTGGGTCCTCTCTGAGAACATTAAGGACTCTCCAGCCCATAAGACCCAAATCTAAAAGCAAAAGTGATTGATATTTGAAATATGACCTGCAGTGATGGCCCAGAGTTGGTTTTATGTGACGTTTTTTAGTTTTAGTGTTTTGACTGACTGACTGAGACCCATCAAGTGAAGTTGGGGTAGAATTCCACACTTGTGGAGAGATGTCTACGCTTGGGGGTTTTTGGATTTGGGGGTTTCAGGTTAGGGAGACTCAATGTGTGCTGAATTGAAAGAAAGGACCAGCTCTGATTTTGACAGAATTAACTTACTTCTTACACATCTGGGATGCTCTTTAAATGGCTTCACGTGGTCTTCGGAATACAGGAGCTGAAGAGGGCTTCGGTGCTGCAGACTATGCCTAGGGTGGAGAAGTGATGAAATTCACAGTGAGCGAGACAAATGAATCCCCCAGAAATCCTGGAAGAAGTGTCCTTGAGTTTGGGGAGCAGTTGGGAAACCGGGAATGCTGTGAGGAAGACCAGGGAATACCGTGGTTAGAGCACCTGGAGGTGCTGCCCTCTTCAAATGGCACGTGATGTCCTCAGGGGCCTGTTTTACAAATGCAGTTTAAACACTACATACTTACAAACAGTGCTAAGGTTCCTTTTTCTGTACAATGAATGGAATAAGTTCTTCTTCAACGTTGACAGTAAGTGTATTGCTCTCTAGTTTGAGTAGTAACCTAGTGAAATATTAATACTCCTACCAAAAAGTTATATCTTTCATTCTTTCAGTCACCACGGAAATAACTGTCAGTGGTGATTTCAAATATGAGTGATGGGTGGGGGCAGAGCTGAAAGCTCCCTCACAGATGAAATATGAGTGCAGTGTAAATATATATAAGGACCTTGTTAACCCAATGACACCTTCCAGCTCTTAGCGCCTGGCAGACTCTGGATGTTGGCTGTGTGGGGAAAGTAAGGCAGAAGTGACTGCATCTTGTTTTCCTACTTAGCTGTGCAAGTGCTGTAAAGTTTACCAAGACTTCAGGATGACAGTTTCACAGCGAGGCTGCACAGGTCTGAGTATCAATACCAGCCATTTCATCTGTAGCCTCACTTTCCTCCCTGGAAGTGTTAGTAGCAGCTGCCTGTTGGGATGAAGACAAAGCAGGTAGTGTGTGTGAGGGCTCAGAGGACACACGGATTCGGTTTTCCTTGTGGCTTTCTGGTAATGAGTTATGCTTCCTATTATCTGTTTGTAAATCCTTAGAGCACTTTAGTGCAGTGAGTCGTGGAGGCAAAGACACCCAAGGTTGCACTGGGGAACGCCGCAGGGCGAGTCAGGTGCTCAGAGACTGCAGCTGCAAACAGAGTGCACAGCAGAATTGTTGATACTCCAGGTTATGTTTGGTCAGTAAAACAATTTAGGGGAAGAGACTTGACTCTGTTTAGTCATTTGACTTTAGGATACAGTTGGGAGTTTTAATTAATTAAAATTAATCTATTGCCATAAAAATCAGCCAACCTTGGGCTTTGTCCCTGTGGGTAGGTAGCCCTCTACTGGAGCATGGACAAACTGCACCACAGAAGAAAACTGGCTATCCCTTTGCCAGGAAGCTCATCAGTGTAGGGTATTCAGGAGCCTGTTCCTTCTCCAGGCTGGAATGCTGACTGGCTTGATCTTGTGCTGGTCTTATGCTGGCAGCCATGGCTGCTGTGAGTTTATGAATACAGTGGCCTGGTCCTGTCCGGAAGACGTTGTTTCTCAGGAATCTTCCTGATATCTAGTTTTTACAATCTTACTGCTTTCCCACCGCGAGCTGTTGGTTCCTGCATAACACTCAAACCCCTATTGCATTAAGTGGCACATCTTGTCAGGGTGGTGGCGATTATGACTTGCAGGATTCACAGCCGAGTAACACTGTTGATGACCTCTCTCTCTCATAGCGCCATATGGCACCGTGAAAGCTAACCAGCCGGGAAGGAACTTCCAGATTATTCTAGCTTGCTTTACCCATGTCCTGTAATCAAACTGTGGCCTTACAATCATGTTCCAGTAGGTAACCAAGAACACTGGTGACATACCGTATTGTTTTGGGGGTTCCTGGGACCCCTGCAGCAACTCTATAGGGTATTCCCACACATGTCACTGGGGTCTTCATTTGATAACCTAAGGCTTCTGGGAGGAGAATTATCCTTCTGTGTGGGATAACTAGAAAAACATCAGCCATGGCATAGACAATAATCTGTGCTACATATATACAATGGACTTTTATGTATCTGTAAAGAAAAATGAAACTGTGAACTTTGTAGGTAAATTGATCCAGATAATTTTATTAGTTATAATTATAGTATTATGTTTTTTTTAAAAAAATAATTTTAGTAATCCAGACCCAGAAAAAATAAGTACATGTTCTTTCTCATATGCTTTAGATTGTGTTTATCGTGGAGGACCTGTAGAAGTCAGGAAACGAGAGAGAGAGAGAGAGAGAGAGAGAGAGAGAGTGAGAGAGAGAGAGAGAGAGAGAGAGAAGCGAGGAGCATAATATAGTCAAACACAGTGTCATGGGCCTGGTAAAAGGGAGGAAGGACTACGGGCGGGGGGAGGGTAAAGCAGAATGGGGGGAGATAAGATCAAGGGTGTTTGAAAAAGTCACATGGAAACCGGCTATTTTATCAGGTTCCTAATGTGTGCACACACAGAGAGACATACTTAAAAACTGGTTTATTTTGATTTTATGTGAGTGGGTCTTTTGCCTGCATGTGCATCCATGAATCACATGCACCCAGTACCTATACAGGCCAAAGTCACACCCGGAATTGAGTTACAGACAGTTGTGAGCTGCCACGTGGGTGCTGGGCATCAAACTTGAGTCCTCTATAAGAACAGCCAGTGTTTTTAACCACTGAGCAGCCCTTCTAACACACGCGCGCGCGCGCACACACACACACACACACACACACACACACACACACACACACACACACACAATTTTTTTAATTAGAGAAGATGTCGCTTAATGGTCACGCAATGCTAGGGGCTTCTGTTACCTTCCAGGATTGTGATGCCTCAGAGGTTCTGATTCCAGAGGTGTGGGATGAGGGACTCCCCTTGTTAGGGGGCAGCCACACCTTTCTGATACTGGTGGTTTGGGGGAGAATCAGTACTCTGCTGGGCAATGTGAGTTCAATGAGTCTGTCTGTCCTCAGGCTTCAAAAGGAAAACCTGGCTCCAGGTTTTCTGTGTATCTCTCTGCCTCTTCCCCACATTTGCCTTCTCTCTCTCTCTCTCTCTCTCTCTCTCTCTCTCTCTCTCTATCTCTCTCTCATTCTATCATACCTTCAGTCTCAGATAAACTTGATGAGGGCCTGTTGGCATGTTCAGACTGTAAGAAACTCCATGACTTAGAAGTGTGCTGGCAGGATTTAGACCCAAGCAGGAATGTGGGAGTCTCTACTGAGGGACATATTCTATCCTGAGGCCTCTCTCTTGTGGCCTGACTAGCAGACTTCATCCTGGTCATAATGCAGAATCAGGTCCTATGCTTCTGCTTCCACAGAGAACAGTAACAGGGAAGCTTTCTAGGAACTGAGTGGGTTCAAATCCCAAATGGATTTTTCTTTGGGCCACCAGCTCACAGAAAACGGAGACTTATTATTAAGAAAGCTTGGCCTATAGCTTAGGCCTGTCCCTCCAGCTCTTTAAAAAACAACAACAACAACAAAACCTTTTATTTATTTATGATGTATACAGTGTTCTGCCTGCACACCAGGAGAGGGCACCAGATACCATTACAGATGGTTGTAAGCCACCATGTGGTTGCTGGGAATTGAACTCAGGACCTCTGGTAGAACAGCCAGTGCTCTTAACCACTGGGCCATCTCTCCAGCCCCTTCCTCTAGCTCTTATAACTTAAATTAACCCATACTCTTTAATGTACGTTCTTTTACGTGGCTCAGTTACCTTTACTCTACACTGCGGATCTTGCTTCCTCTCTGTCTGTCTGGCAACTCCTCCTTTCTTCTTCCCAGAGCTCTTTCTGTCCAAGATGTCCCTGCTATACCTCCTGCCTGGCGGTCGGCCATTTAGCTTCCTGTTAAACCAATCCCAGTGGCACCGTGTGAAGGAATATTCTACAGCACACCTCCATTGGTGTCTCAGCTGCTAGACCTTAACACATTGCTCAACTCTCGTGTCCATTCTGTGAAATGGGAAGTCATTGTTAGTGGGGCCACACTTAGTAGTTTTAGCCAAAACCCTGAAAGTGAGGTGGGGAAGCTGTGTGGCAGACAGGACAACCCCAGAGCCGATTTACTACAAGATGAGAAAGTCACATGGCTGTCAGCACTTTGACTTTTCCTCACCTCTGCAGACGGAAGTCCAGAGGTCCCGGACCCTCTGCAAAGTGATCAGGCAAATCATGTGATCAAGTTCACCTTGAAATCCCGATCTCATTCCTTTATCACTTCTCTTTGTCTCCATTTCCTGTTGCTTCAGGAAGTCACAGCAACCATGTAGTAAAAATGAAATAGTTAAGGTTGTATGCTTCTTGAAGGCTTTTTTCCATTGAAAGTGTGTGTGTGATATGTTGTATGCAACCAAAATCTATAAAAGGGTTACAACGGCAATATATACTGTCTTTTTTTCCTCCATGTTTTATTATGTAAAATTCATGATACACAGAAAAATTGAAACCACCTTATTCTGAATATCCATACTTGGAAGATTTTAAAAGAAAAAGCACGAACAATGGACTAATAATGAACATAGAAAGAACACATAGAACAGTGTAACTGACACATTCACCCACCTACAAAAGATATTGTGTGCTCGGGTTTTGCTGTATTTCCATCCTCTATTTTGGGCAAAGTTTAAGATTAAAAAAAGGTGTATTTCCCATTATTTTTACATAACATTTTATTAACTATGAGAATTTCATAGCATGCTTTTTTTTTTTTTAATCATACTCACCTCCCCCAGCTCCTGCCAGATCTACCCCACCCAACTTGCTGCCCTCTGAAAAATAGCAAAGCAATGGAGTTCAATTAGTGCTTTCCACATACTCTTGGGTGTGAGGACATCCCCTGAAGTGTGACCAACTCCAGAGGTCATACCCCGTTTCTTCCCAATGGTTTCCGTCCATCCATTTCAGATGAAATATTTCTCCCCTTGTGTTCTCCTTTATGTTTGTGTGTACTGTATGTCTTTAAACATGCATATTCATAGGAGAATGTTTGTGACTCTAAAACACTTCATACACAAACACATATACATAGATGTATGTACCTATATTAGCTACTAAGTTCACCATAACAAATACCATCAACTGGATGACTTAAGTAATGTAAATTTATTCTCACAATATTTGGAAGCTACAAATCTTATGTCAAAGTATTAGAGGGCTGGTTTCTGGTGCAGTCTCCCTTCCTGCCAGGAACAAATCAGTGGTAACATGCTGGAAACCCATGTAGTAGAAACATCATTAGGGCTTCGAGAAATTACCAGAAGTGATGCTTCAGCTGTCAAAAGATGTATTTCATTGATTTGTTTTAGTTTGGGAGGGGCATTCTTACCTGCCCTTTGAGTTACATCATTGGCCAACGTCTGTATCTTTTAGGAGGAAGTCTGCCAAGAGGCCATGCTTCAGACCCCTGGACTTTTACCGCAGGCAGACGGGAAAACTCACTGCAGACACTTGAACTTGTCGCTTTCTTTTCAGTGCCATTTCTGTGACAAGGCCTTTATGAACCAGGCTTTCCTACAAAGCCACATCCAACGTCGCCACAGTGCAGAGTCTCACCTTGGTAAGGCATGAACTCCGTATCAGAGTTTTTTCTTTCCTCTCCCCTTTTCCTTTCTCAGTGAGACACAGTCTGGTGTGTTTCTCAATCCGTTTGAAGGCAAGTCTCGCGGGCCCTGCCCACCCAGTGAGTAAATGCTGAGCCCTGTGTGTATGCTCACAGTACCCTGACTGCTGAGGACTGCGTGAGCAGTGCCACTTCAAGTCTTCCTTTAAATGGAGGACCAAAGAGACACTTGAACCAATGCAGTGCTTGCCAAGTGCCAAGTGCAAAGAGAGTATCAAAGGCTGTAAAGGACAAAGATGGGGGCAGGGGGATCATTGCAGGTGGTCTTTGAAGGAAGCCATTTCTACCCAGAGAGCAGAGTCATGAAGTCTGGTGAGAATTAGGGACTGGAGCAGCACAGGGACAAGGACTGCTGACAGTAAGGGGCGGGAGGAGAGGCTGCAATGTGTGTTAAAGGTCAGGAAGGAGATGCGAGGAGTGGCAGGAGTAGGCAGGCAGGGTAGTGTGGGAAGGCTGGAGGGTGGGAACTGGTCTCAGGAGGTGATGAAGGCTCCGGCCTGTGGGTGTTCTGTGTGTACGGTGGGAAGCCGGGGATGACTTTTCCTTAGAGGAGAATGACGATGTAATTTGTACCTTAGAGAGAACGTCCTAGCCGCAGATGCACAGTCCTCAAGGGCAACAGTGAAAGCTGGTAGAAGAATGAGGAGGTGCCGAGGAGGCCAAGTGAGAAGAGGAAGAGGTGTAGACAGGGGAGGAGGGACAGCCTGCAGAGTTCCGGCTTCGGGGGGAAGTGAGAGGCGAAGGAAAGCCCTACTCCTGTCTAGACGAGCATTGTCTGAGATGGAGGGTTAGGTGGGAAGAAACTTAGACGCAGATGGAGACAGGAGAGTTTGTGTTGGCCACTCGTACATTCACATCACACATACAAGAGACTTGCAGGTCACACGGCTGAGGCTTGCAGACGGAGGTCCAGGGTAGAGGAGAGGTCTGGAAGTCCCTGGAGGACAGCAGGCTGGCCAAAGCCATCTAACTAGAGGTCAGAAGACCCAGGGCCAATACTAGGCCTCCCAACATAGTTCCTCAAGAAAGGCAGGTGGGGGGTCCCCGAGGCTGACCTCAGGAGTGTGCAGTCTTGAATAGCAAGGGGGAAAGTGGTCCCGGAAGACCGCAGTGGTCAAATGTATCAAATGTTCCAGGAGCAAAGGGCAGGCTGCAGATGGGGAACTGACCGCCACCGCACAGTAGTTGGCCTTCACACAACAGCTTCAAAGAATCGATAAGACAGCAGGTCAGTTTGAGTGGACTGAGTTGGCAGTCAGTGAGGAAATGTTTTAACAAACACGGGCATGTATGTTAGCAGTGTGTGCCAGGAAGGAAAGCAAGAGACTCGAGATAGCAGCTCCATTGACGCGTGGAGACCAGGGGAAATGATCTTCTGTGGGAACAGATATGTCTGGGTGCTGATGGGGAGTAGCCAGAAAGTAGAGACAGAAATAAAGACGAGGAAATGGGCTCTGTGGTTTCCCAAGGGGATCAGCCTTCTCACTGTTCCAATGTTCTCCAAGAATGTACGGTCTCCTCTCCATCAGAGCAGGTGTCGTGCCGTGGTAACCTACAGAAGTGTTCTCAGTAGGTGGACCGGCTCCCGTTATCTGGGGCCAGTCTGTTTCTATTCCGGCCCATTGTGCTTCATAGTAGAGGCAAGACAGCCAGCAGGAATTTTCCCTCGAAAGCATGGGCTTCCAATACAAGCAAGCGGTGTCATCAGAAATGTGGGGACCCTGCACTGTTTGTAACCAACCTATCATTCTTCAGGGTGAAACTGACCTCTATCTCTCTGTTTCAGTCTCTCATTCTGTCTCATACCCGTGTCAGAGAGTGTTTCAGACTCTGAAATGCAGAGCATTATCTCCTCAGGCCATCTTTGAGACTCTGACTCTCTGCTTTGGTTTGCATACCTTTCATGTCTACCCTCACAGCACACGTTTACCCATTCAGTCATGTGTACACCCTCATGTAAGTACACGGACATAAGTACTCCTCTCCCTCGCTTGTTGCCTCCCCGTGTCAACTTTTCAGTTCTTCTGCTTTTGCCCTGGTTGACAGATGACTGCCCAAGTCTCCATCTTGAGTCCCCAGCCCTGTGTGACCAATGACCGGGACCTGAGGAGTGTTGGGTGGGAGCCCGAACGATGTTGACTGTGTGATTTCAGTAGTGTGGTACTCGGAGGCACCTTCTCTGCTTCGAGTGGGACGGACATCTCTGAGGGTCCAGAGCGCCAGTGGGGCCTCACAGCCAGGACCGCCCCCTGAGCAGGGCTCTCACGCCGCCCCTGCGGATACTCAACCTTAGTACAGTGGCGTGGCTGAAAGAAGCCACTAAGATTAATGAAGCGTCTGGTCACTCGAAGAGCTCCAGATAAACACTAAAGAACGGGGCTGGGCTCGTGGCAAAATAGAAGTAATAATGTCCCCAAGGGAGACCATTTTCTTCTGTCTTATCCATAGAGCTATGCCCTGTAAGGTTTTAGGTGAGCGCATAAGAGACTAGATGTTCCAGATTCTAACTAGATTTTTCTGTCGCAACAGAGTATAATACAAAGGCTCAGACCGACAGGCTCCAGAAGGAGATTGATATGTTGAAGGAGCAGCTGCAGCTCACCAGGTCTCAGCTGGAGTCTGCCCAGTACGCCCATGCAGTCCGGTTCTCCAAGGTAGGGCACAGAGTTCTGTACTGGAGACAATGCAATTACTAGTGTTTTAAAAGATGCAGGGAAACAGGGATGCTGGCTGTGGTGTGTGTGTGTGTGTGTGTGTGTGTGTGTGTGTGTGTGGTGTATGTGTGTCTTGTGTATAATGTGTGTATGTATGCATGCATGCAGATGTAACCCTTATTCCTTTGAGACAGGATCTCTCACTAACCCTGGAGCAAGGCTGCATGTCCTCAAGCCTTGGCATTCCTCTTGTTTCTCACTCCCCAGCACTGGGGTTATATAGGCTCACATGTGGCCATCCTGGGATTTGAACTCAGGGCCTTATGCTTCAGCAGCAAGCACCGTTAACCACCAAGCCCTATCTCCAGGATCCAAATGTGGGTTTTGTTTTTACATTTATTTATTGTGTATCTGTATGTGGGTGGACACATGTGGACGCCAAGGACAGCTGCTCGAGTTGGCTCCTTCCTTCCACCTTGTGAGTCCTGGGATGGAATTCAGGTTGTCATGCCTGGCACCAAGTAACCTTACCTCGTGAGCCATCTTGCCTGTTCCCTAGCTCTGTTTCAGTTCGGGAGAGTCCTTGGTGTAGACCTACTATCTTAGGAAATGTTACTACAATTCGGGAGAGTCCTTGTATGTAGACCCACTGTGTTATTACAGTTCGGGAGAGTCCTTGTGTGTAGACCCACTGTGTTATTACAAAGTGTTATTACTGGTCCACTTCAAAGAGTAAACACTGAGATTTTGGAATAAAGCTATGGTTTGTTTTAAAATTTGCATATCTGCCTCGTTCCTTTAATGACACATATTAAAATAATTCCAGGAACATGAAATGCAGAAGACAAAAGAAGATGACTTTCTGAAGTTATTCGAAAGATGGAAAGAGGAAGAAAAGGAGAAGTTGCTTGATGAAATGGAGAAAGTCAAGGAGATGTTCATGAAGGAATTTAAAGAGTTAACGTCTAAGAATTCCGCATTAGAATATGTGAGTCTTTACACCAGAAGTTCTCATACGGTTGCGTGCTTTGAGGTGGTGTTAGCATGGCACTGTGGCCCGAGGAACAGATATCTTACTATGCCTGGTACACACAGCTCTCCTACAGGGGTCGTGGGACACACAGGAGGCAGAGCTGGTGAGAGGAACTGGTTTGTCATGAGTGGGCAGTCTGTACAGGCTTTAGTTCAGAACACTCGTGGATGCATTTGTTTTGCTCTTTCCTTATTTGGTTAGGCTTAAATAGCCTTAAACCACAAACCCTTTCTCAAGTTCTAGAATGTTCCAAGTAGTGGATGGAAAGGCGGACACAGATTCACCCAGGTGAGAGGGAGAGGAGGAGGGTGAGAGCCCTTGCCTGGCCCTCTCCTCACTCCACACCTGTCCTACGAAGAGGACTGGGTCTCTAGAGTTAGCAGGATATGGCGAGTGGGCTCTGTGCCACTTGGGAACCGCTGTGGTCCATAGACATGTGTGATAGCAGACTCACTCACTGGGGTTGGAGCCTTCATCTTCACAGCCTGTCAGTCCTTTTGATCTGAAACTCCCAGAGAAAAGAAAGGGAACCAAGGGCGATCCTTGGGCTCCCTCTAGGGGCCAACAAGTTTTAGAAACAAAACTGATGGCTGCTGTGGACCAAGGCCAAAATCCTTTCATTTTCTTTCCTGCTCAGCTTCCTCTCTGCTGAGTTTGAGTTAGTCACGCGCGTCCTTAGGCTCTCTTTTGTCTGTTTCAGGGTTCCCATCTTGTTATTGACGAACCTAACAATTTAGAGAAGTATGGGTTGTTTGTTTGTTTGGAAGCCCTGCTGGGGGTTCATCCTGATTAATCTGAGTTTATGTGGGCAGGATCTCAGAGACAACGTGTCAGTTCTTCACACCATACCTAGTGCACACATGGTCTAGATGACCTATGGCTTTTCACTCTGGCTGCTTTGCCTGGAGTGGCTTGTGGGAGTGAGCAGTGAGTAGGGCTCCCCGACCCTCCTGCTTTCCATGTCACCTTTATTGTCTGTTGCTGTCTGTGTTTTTTTGTTTTTGTTTTTTCTGTAGTTAACTTTAGGAAAATTAAAATATTTACGCTCCTAGTGGATTTATTGGTGGGCCTTCCATTACATAATCTTACCTTCTTAGAACTAGCTGTAACAGGGCATGGTGATAAACCCCGGTCATCCATCCCTCAGGAGGCTGAGAGGGGTCCAGCCAGAGTTCAAGACCAGCTCGGGCAACAGAGAAAGTTCTGCCTCCAAACAAACAGACAGACAGAAAGGGACAGATATACCCAGTTCCTCTCACAAATGCTACGTTCCTGTTAAAAATGTAAAGACCCATTGTCAAAGGCCACAAAGTTGACTTGGGGCCAGAGAGCTCGTTCAGCAAGTAGAGTAATTGCTGTGTAAAACCTGGAGGCTCAAGTTCAATCGTCAAATCCACACACTGGTAGACGGAGAGAGCTGACTACACAGTTGTCCTCTGACGACCACACAAACGCTCTGACATCCCCACCCCTCCAATAGTAAATCATTTTTTAAAACTTAGTTTTTCTTTTTGTCAGTTAGATAAATGTCTAACATTTCTATTGGTGATATTTTTTTCTTTGTAGCAACTGTTAGAAATACAGAAGTCCAATATGCAGATCAAGTCCAACATAGGCACCTTAAAGGACATTAATGAGTGTAAAGAAGACCACCCCCCATGTCCCCAGGATTTCCAGAACATGCTGCAGCTCCTCGACAGCCAGGTATGGCATGGGTGATGACCAGCGCCCACAATTTATAACATTTATTTAATTATTTGTGTGTGCATCTGCATGAGGTTTTGTGAACAGTGTAATACACACACGCACACACGCATACGCACACACGCACACACGCACACCACACACACACACACACACACACACACACACATATATATATATATATCTATACTATACATATATATATATATATATATATATATATATCTATTTCATACAGGCCAGAAGGAGGATATTGGGTCCCATGGAGGAGCTGGAGTTGCAGATGTTTTTAGTCCATAAAGGGGTTACTGAACCCAGGTCCTCTGCAGGAACAGTTGGCACTCTTAACCACTGAGCCAAGTCTCCACCCCCTTGGGGTTTTTTCTTAATGAGTTCATTCACACCAAATGTATTTGTTTCATCTCTTTTTCTCCTGTCTCTCGACACAATGTCTGATTCATAATAGGTGTTGATTCATAGGTGTGGATATAAAATTAGTAGTTAAAATTTTCAGTTTTCACTAACAGAATGTCAGCCTGAACTAGTATCCTTAGGCCATTTGCATTATTGTTGAACCTTTTTCCTATTTCAGATGTAGATCTCACCTTCTAAAAATGCATATTGAGGCATCAAACTTCTTAGTAGACATCCAGCACTACACTGGACAAACTGATATCTTTTGTATATTTTATTCTCATTTGAAAGTCAGCCTCCATAATCACCCTATAAAAGTTATTTTACCTCAGTGGTTCACAGAAGACAATTAAAAGTCAAAAAGGCTACGGATATAGGTTGGTGGTATAGTCTGTGTGGGACCTCATGTTCACTCTCCACTCTGTGTTGAGAGGGGCAGATTGTAACTTCTGAGTGCAGTAATAGTAAGTTTGCTCACAGGGTAACGGCTCTAACCCCCAAGCTTCATGACTGAGGTTTGACCCCTGCGACCCACATGACAGAAGGAATGAACCAACTCCCATAGGTTGTCTTCAGATCTCCACGTGTGCAGTGTGAATGCCTGACCTTACATGTGCACACACCGAGGCATACATGCACATACATAGTAAATATAATGCACTTTTAATAATAAAAATAAAACTATGACATTTTTAAATGGTAGTGGCATTTTCAAATAGGATGGCTGTCTCTTGTTTCAATGCTGCATCTTGCCTGCCTCCCTTGAATGTGCCTTCTCCGTTACAGTTGCCTGTGCGTGTCACCACCCTGTCTTACTTTAGTTACCCCATCTCCCACACACATACACCCCCAGACTATTCAACCAGCAGCAAGGCCTTGCTTCCCACCATACCGTCGTTTACAATGATGGTGTTCCCTCAGCCCCAGTGCCCTCTTTCTAGAAAGCACTTCTCACCCTGTGGGTTGCAAACCCTTTGGTCGAAAATGACCGTTTCGCAAGGGTTGCCTAAGACCACCCGCAGATCAGATATCTACGCGATGATTCGTAGCAGTAGCAAAACTACAATTGCAAAGTAGCAACGAAAATAATTTTATGGTTGAGGCTTACCACAGCACGAGGAACTGTGTTAAAGGGTCGCAGCGTCAGGGAGGTTGAGAGCCACCACCGCTCTAAGTCATAGCCCCTTGTTCCCTACCTGGCGGGGACCTTTCTGTTTTCTGCCTCATTCTTATTCCCCAGGATTACTGGAACAACACCTCCAAAAGGTTTTTTCCAAATCTCCTCTACACGATACCATCTGTTTGGTCAGAACTTAACTATGCACATTCAATAGGAGTTCTGTCATCATGATGTCCCCGCCCCACTTCCTGTAAAGAACAGGGTGTCCTTTTACCCCTCATCCAAGCTGCTAGTAGTTGCTTGGCTGGGTGCTGGGCTTGAGTAGGAAGGAAACTACAAGTTGGCTCATACTGTTGACATTTACTTCCACAGACTACAATGTCTCCCACAAACGGAGTTGCCTGCTTAGAACCCTCAGACCCAGAAACCTTAGTTCTTTGTCCCATCCCCCTCCCCAACCCCTTTACACAGTCATTGGAGAGGAGAGAACCTCGACTGAGAAAGCTTTAGGCAACCCTGTGGGGCATTTTCTTAATTAGTGATTGATGGAGAAGGGCCCAGCTCATTGTGGGTGGAGCCATCCCTGAGCTGGTGGTCCTGGGTGCTATAAGAAAGCAGGGGGAGGAAGCCATGGAGAACCAGCCAGTAAGCAGCACCCTCCATGGCCTCTGCATCAGCTCCTGCCTCCAGGTTCCTGCCCTGTTAGAGTTCCGGACCTGACTTCCTTTGAGCCATGATGCAGAAGTGTAAGCCAAGTAAACCCTCTCCTCCCCAAGGGTTTGGTCATGGCGTTTCATCCCAGCAGTAGTAACTCTAACTAGGACATCCACATACCCGTAGTTGTGACAGATTTTCCTGGCTCCACTTGCTAGCCTGAAATACTGACTACTCTGTGATAGAAATACCTGCTGATCCCAGCCTTGTGGTAAATCCAGGGAAAAATGGGTTTAAACGCTGCAGGCATGAAGACTCTAAAAATGCCAGCTAAAATTTTACTGGACTGTTGGATTTCACAGATACCCAGTGAAAAGCAAGCTCCAGTGTGGAGAAGGTGTCTGTTACTGCTATAGACAAATCACTTGTTTTCTCTCTCCCAGGCAAGCAAGTGGTCAGATCGATTTCAAGTTCTCAACGAGGAACACAGCAAGGAGAAGGGACAGGTAAGACTGAGAATCCAGGAGCCTCTGTCTAGTCAGTCGTACTCTCCCCCCACTCCCCGCATGCTCGCACCTCTTTCTCTTCAGTGCCAAGGATGGAACACAGGGCCTCAAGCATGCTTGTGATATATTACTACACACCAACACACACACACACCCCACACACATACACACACATACAAACACACACACACACACACACACACACACACACACACACACACACACGTTGGCCGTTTTTGAGAAGAATTTCTAATTTACTCAATAATGAAAGTAGTATTTTCCTATTTAATATTTCTGGAGAAGTGTGTGGCAAAATTAAAGTTATTTATAACTTTAAAACAAAACTAACCACTGCTACTCCTTTGTGCGTTTCTGCTCAGTTTTCTTTCTATATTATACATTCTGCTTTTCTTTTTCTAAACTGCTTGTCCTGTGAGAGTTTCACACATGTGTGCAGTGGGTTTTGCCTTTGCCCATCCCTGACTCCACCCCCGGCTCATTCTGGGCGTGGACTTCACCCCTGTGTCCCTCCTGCTCCCAGCTTCATGTCTCCCTTCTAAAATCCATTTAAAGAACAACCCACTGATTCCAGTTCGTGTTGCCCGTATGCACATGGGTGTAGGGACATCCAGGGGCCATACCCATGCCCAACAGTGACTCTGTCTCCCCTGCAGCCACCAATGCCAGCAGCTCCTCAACTCCAGATGGAGCCTCTTGAGCTCCCCACCCTGTCTATACTGGACTGCCAACTGGCTTTTTCTGATGTAGGCCACACAGTCTCCTTGAGTTCATGAGAGCCCCAACTTTGTCATATCCAGATGACGCAGAGCCAAGCTCAGAGTCCAAGCTCAGAGAAGGCCAGCTGTCCCTTCTTTGTTTCCTCCCCAGGCAGGCTTCCTCACTCGGAAGCTCTGTGCCCGTCACCCTGTGACTGCTTGCACATGGAAGAAGGTTTTCTTCCTTTTTTCCCACGTTTTTCCTCCAGGCTGCTGCCAAAACTTACAGCTTGCCTAACCTGCTGGTTTTCTCTTAAACTCTAAAAAAAATTGCCCTCAAGCTTCCTTCCGAATATGTTTTTAAGTTCCTTTATTAACAAGGCTAAACCCAAAGAGGATACCAGTAACACATCATACCCAACTGTTTTATAGTTGGGGCCTCCCATCTCTGTGTCTTGCAGTCTTCCTACCCTCTCTTCCCTGAGCCTTGGGTTGTGTGTATGTGTGTGTGTGGGGGGGGGGGAGTAAATGTCCTATTTGGGGTTGAAAATGCCATAATCGCTGATTCTCTGTATCTGGATCGGTTGTGAATCTTTGTATTAACTCCTGTCCCCTGCACAGAGAAGTTCTCTAATGAGGGCTGAGAGCTTTGTTAATCTACAGGTATAGAGAAGGTATTTAGAAGCATTCCATACCGTACCCTTAGCAAAATAATAGCGGTAAGCCTTCCCCTGTTGTCTATGAACTCTCTGATCTCAATTTCTTGGCCTAGTTTGCAGTACCAGGCAGGAGTTCCGATCCACACACGAGCTCTTCACCAAGCTTCAGACTGTTGCCTCTCCTCAGTGTGGCTGGAGAGAATCCGGAGACTATCTCAGAATGCAGTCTGAGACCCTGGGCTCCCATCTTTTTTATACCTCTCTAGGGCTGGGATTAAACGTGTGTGTGCGTGACACCAGGTGCTGAGGTCACCTCCGTGTGAACTGTTTCTCTTAGTACTGGGTCAGTGTCACATAGTCAGTGTGGCCTTGAACGAACAGAGATCTGTCTACCTCTTTCTCCCATGTGGCGGGATTAAAGGTGCATGCCCCTGCCGCCTGACTTCTATAGCTTGTGGCTGACTTTGCTTTCAGAATTCTCAGCAAGCTTTACTAAATCATGAATAATATATCACCACATATAAATGTTACATTTCTAAAACTATAAGCCCCTACATATAGATATATCCTAGAAAAAATGCCCTTTCTAGATAATAAATACTTTATGTTTAAAAGTATCCTTCAACTTCTTTGTATTGGCCATGTGATCTTAGATGTTCCATATGTTCACTATTTCTATATTATTGAATTTATATATCTTTTCCTTTGAATTTCTGAGCCGGAACCTAAATAAAAGACTGTTAACAGTAAGAACCTAATGAAAACAAAACTTTGTTTTAAAAGCGATCCCCTGATTCCTGTTCACTGTGTCCATCAGAAAATTCATTGTTAGCATTTCCACTGGGACAAAGCCCCTGAAGTAGATGCATTTGAGAATATCTGAAGATCGGAAATCTTGTTTGTTTGTTTTTGAATAATATTATCTTTTGTGCCCTCTGTGTTGCTAACAGATCTTTTCTGCATAGAGCACCCTGTTTGTGCATCTACACATTCCCTAAAGTAACGTCCCTTCATATAGTTAGTACTAAGTACTGCTTTCAGACAGTCAGAGCAGAATCTCATATTACCAAAGATTATAGTGTGTGTGTGTGTGTGTGTGTGTGTGTGTGTGTGTGTGTGTGTGTGTGCATACATGCATGTCCACATGCCATGTGGTCATATGTGCGCTGTATGTGTTGATATTCAGTATGTCTTCCCCAGTCACTGGCCACTTTATTTCCTGAGGCAGGATCATTTGCTGAACCTGGAGCTTGGTGACGTGGAGAGTTAGTTTAGACTGGTGGCTTGACCCAGGCAGGCAGGCATCATGGTCACTCCCTCCCAGTACGGCAACCTGCTCAGCTTTTATTTGGCACTGGGTATCTGAACTCTGGTCCTTAGGCTTGTGTGCATGTACTTTATCCACCGATCTTTCTAGCCTTATCCTGCTCTCTCTCTCTCTGTTAAAAAAAAAAAAAACATATGGAAAGTGTATCCATTTGTTCTTCTCATCGCTGTTTCCCTTCTGCGTCATTCTCTACTCGCTGTGGCAGACTGTCACAGATTTGGCCTCAAATGATCGACATTAACCATCTCACACAGCCTGTGGGACAGGAGTCTTAGACACTATTTGGCTGAGGCCACGGCTCACGAACCCGCAAGCTGTACTCAGAACGTTACCTAGGCTGTGTCTTCCTGTGGAGCTCTTTCTGGTAAGCCTGGGTTAGCTTCCAGAAGCTATGTCCCTCCACAAAAGTCTCCGACATGGTCATTGGCCTCAAGGCCCTTTGGGCGTGTCACTTGTTTTCATCTTCCTCTTTGGGAAGGGTCTGGAACTTCTTTTAAAGGGCTCACGGACTCAGGAGAAAGCCAGCAGATGTGGGTTTTAACCATGCCTGTGATGTCCCTTTGCTACAAGCACATCAGAGAGGTCCCACCCAAAACCTCAGGCTGGCTGTGCATTGTTCTTGTGCACAGACTCGTGCCCGGCCAGGATATGCTGTCCGTCTGTCTGCTGGTTCAGATATTTAGGAATTGTTTGCTTCTCTGTCTCACTTATTCCCTAACAGAGAGGTGAATTCAATCAAATGCAGTCATCTCCGCCTGAGACCTATTAATTATTCCACACGATTGGCTCCTGCTCTCCCACAATGCACACACTGTGTTTCTCTGTTTAGGGGAAGTTGCCTGTGCCAGCTTGTTATTGCTTTACCTAGGTTCTTGGCAATCTCTTTCCTTTTTAAAATAACATGGGTAGGGAGTTCAAAGGGAGTCACGGATAATCCTTGGTGCAACCTTCTGACCTAGCCTGAGAGCCTGGGAGGTGTGTTATGGTCACATGGTGACAGAGGCAGCTGGTGTTACCAGCAAGGGTACAGAGGATAGCAGAGAGCATCCAGTCCTCCCTTTCTTCCTCTCCCTCTATTCATGAAGCCCCCACCTGTGTGGACCAGTGATTATCCTGATTGCTGGGACTAGAAAATGAATCACATGAACTCTCTGGCCCATGATTGCCCAACTGAGCAATATCCATGTTACATGTGGGTATTAGGGCCAGGGCCAGGGCGGTGTGAACCCTGAGACCCTCATCCTTAGTCACCGACTGGCCTGTGTTAGCATGTGGGACCCGCTCAAGGAGACTCAGCTGCCTACCTGGTCAGCTTTCCCTGTCTCAGATCGTGAACTCCCAGTACAGCCAGGGCCTTGGCATGCCTTGCCCGAAGATTTTCAGAATAACGATCTATGCACAGAGACCACACAGAGGCAGCAGGCGCATCAGGACGCGTGCATGAGGTGTTGTGCACACACCTTGCAGACTCGTGCGTCTCCCGCTTGCTCTCCCAGCTCCTGTCACACATAGAGAAGCTCCGAAGCTCCATGATGGAAGATCTAAGTGCAGATAATGTTTTCTACAAGAGGCGCGTGGAAGAGCTGGGCCAGAAAGTGCAGGAGCAGAATGAGCTCATCCTCAGTCAGAGGCAACAGGTACATCCGGGAGGGGTCCACACTGAGAGGGGTCCGCATGGAGAGAGGTCTGCACCAGGAGGGTCTGCACCGAGCACCTTTGGACTAAGAACGGATGGGGTTTAGTCTGTGGTTTAGTAAGTGGAAGCTGATAGGAGGGGACCACCTCCTCCCTGGGATTGCTTGCAAGAGTAAATGCATTAAAATAAATTGTCCCCAAAGCCACTTTAGACATTGCAATGCCTCAGACAATGCATTTGAGGGTAGGTAGGTAGGTCGGTCGGTCTTTGTTCCATGATCACTTGGAGAAATAGCTAGACCCGTGCAGTATTATTTTTCTACAACTCCTTCCTCTGTCAGGAAGCACATGTGTGGGTGATTGAGTGAAGGGGTAATTTACCAAAGACCATCTGGGGCTTCCTTCAATCTGTCCATCTCTTGCCCAGAATATGAATTGCTAGCAGACTGTTTTGTTTTTCGCAGATTAGAGAATTTACCAGTAAACCATGCAACAACGTCGGTGAGCTGAAAGGTAAGTGGACAGAATCCCTGTGATAAAGTCAAAGGGCTTGCCTGACAGGTTTGGGTGCAAAAAATCTGGGCCTGCTGATTTGTATCTACTAAAGTTGCATTTTACCTGGTATTTTTATTTGGGATATATATTTTAATTTTGAGAGATCTGTTGTCAAAATGCAGAAAGTTGAAGAGTTAAGAAAATCTAAGCTCTCATTTAACATTTTATATGCAACCCAGTCAGCAATTATGCACACAGTGCTGATTAGTGGTCATTTGCCTCTTTAAATTCTTTTAAAATTGTTATGTGTATTTACCTGCATGTATGTGTGTGAACCATGTGCGTGCAGGACCAGTGTGGAGGCCAGAAGAAGGCATCAGATCCCCGGGGACTGGAGTGACAGATGGTTGTGAGCTGTCATGGGAGTGCTGGAAACTAAACCCAGGTCCTCTGCGAGAACAGCAAATACTCCTAACCACCGAACCATCTTTCCAGCCCTGCCCTCTGTCTCTTGATTTATGCACCTAAGACAGAGTTAGATGCAGCGGCCTAGAAAGAGTCTGAGTTCAGCCCCCGCCTCTGGCACGCACTCACATCTTTGTGAGCCTGTGTTCAGTTTCTTCATCTCTAACACTGGAGATTTAATAGAAACTATACTGAAGCTTTGAAGCAAGGACGAAATGGAATAACAACCTGGGGCTAGTGACTAGGGCGGACATTAAGCTCTTCTAAAATACTGTAAAAGCTTGCTGCATCCCCTCCTTCTAGTAGCTGAGGGTTGCAGCTTGGTTCTAGGCATAGTGGCAGTAGGAGTGACATACCGCAGCAGTCACCTGGCCATCTCCTGTCAGGCATGGTCCGGATCAGAAGGGAAAGTGCAGCTAAATCTAGACTTCTGTCCAGGCTTCTCCCCGGAGGTCCCAGGTTTGGCCTCGGCGTGGCTCAGATAGTAAAGGATACTAGCTGGTTTGGTTTGGACACAGAAGCTGAATTTCCTTCCTTCCATCTTTGTGTGGTATAAATGTTTGGCAAAAAAGAGGAGATAGGTTTATGATTTCCTTTAGCTTCTCTTAGAATAATGAGAGCTCAAGTGATAAGAGGTATAAATTAATGCTTGTTTAAATATAGTTGACTGGAAGTCATTTAAGAAATAAGCTTTAAAAGAACTCAAGCTGCTGGGCGTTGGTGGCACATGCCGTTGGTCCCAGCACTCGGGAGGCAGAGGCAGGCGGATCTCTGTGGTCTTGTAAGAGCGAGTTCCAGGACAGCCTCCAAAGCCACAGAGAAACCCTGTCTCGAAAAACAAAAACAAAACAACAACAAAAAAACTGGAGCTAAGCCTAGTGCACAGAGCCAGGTACTCTACATCGCACAGGTTTTTCTGATGGCAGAATTTAGGATAACTTGCTGCCAAAACCTGCTTCTGTGTTACAGTTTTCACTTTTAACTTATATTTTTGTCATTTCAGGGAACCCTCTGACCTGGCAAGCAATGGACTCTAAACCAGCTAACCCTGCTGCACCCAGTAAGTGTCTGTGTAGATTCCTGGTCTAAAACAGCCTTGTGCTCATTTTTTCTTGCTTACTTAATTTACTAGAGACTTTTTTCTCGGAAGCAATGTATTTGGTGATGACATGTGATTCACTTTGGTCCTGGCTTTGACTCAGCCCTGTAACCCAAGGCTGTAGATCTTGTAGATCTTGCTTAGTTATTATTTGGCAGTTTGACTTATAAAGGAATGAGTTAGAATGTTGGCATCACACATGTTCACATCTGGGGACTTCCCAAGGGACCATGGGAAGAGCCTGGTTAGTGGCCAAGGCCACTCTGACATGACTGGGACTGGATACTGAGGATTTTAACAGGTCCCCTGTCCCCACTTGTGGTAGCTGGAGTGGTGGTACATAACGTTAATCCCAACTTGTGGTAGCTGGAGTGGTGGTACATAACGTTAATCCCAGCACTCAGAAGGCAGATCTCTGAGTTCCAGGCCAGCCTGGTTTACAGAGCAAATTTCAGGACAGCCAGGACTACACAGAGAAACCGTGTCTTAAAAAACCAACCAACCAAACAAACAAACAAAAGATCACCTAGAGAGATAGCTCAGAGGTTAAGAGCAGTTATGAGGACTGGAATTCAGATCTCAGCACATATATTCCCGCGAGCGCGTGTGTGCGCGCGCACACACACACACACACACACACACACACACACACACACACACACACGAGATATTTTCATACTTTTTGTTTGTTTGTTTGTTTTTCGAGACAGGGTTTCTCTGTGTAGCTTTGGAGCCTATCCTGGCACTCGCTCTGTAGACCAGGCTGGCCTTGAACTAAAAAAGACCCCCCTGCCTCTGCCTCCTGAGTGCTGGGATTAAAGGCATGCGCCACCAATGCCTGGCCAGACTTTTTTTTCAATGATAGTGAAATAATTTAAATGTTTTTATTTCTGAAAGGAAAAGGAAAGAACCCTTGGTAGAGGAAGTCAGATAGCAGGTGATACTTGTGAGGGGCGGGCTGTGCTATGTGCAGACAGGCTTTGGAGCACTGGGCATGGCACTGGCCCCACCCACTGGACGGCATGGTGACTGAAGGGCATCCGTCACTGGGGTGCTTAAGGACATGGCTAATAGTTTTCATCGCTGTCTTCACAGGGGCTTCCTGTTAGAAGCCTCTCAAAGCCAGAGAGATGCTAAGGTGGTGAGAGGAGAGGAAAGCAGTGCTAAGAGGAGGGGCGGGACTCGGGAGATGAGATACACACTTCAGGGAGGGGCGGGACTCGGGAGATGAGATACACACTTCAGGGAGGGGCAGGAAGTTAAAGAACAGCCAGCAAAGCAAACATCGCCAGATATACAAGCAGAAAAGAAAAGAAGAAAACAACAGCAAGATGTCTTTGGAGTGATTTTCTCCAAGTGGAGTGTCCAGATAGTCTAGGATAGGCAACCATATCCAATGGGATATGAGAAATCAATTCTTAAGATTTTGATATATTAAAAAATTCATTCTTCAATTTTTCAAGTATTTTTGTAATGTTTATATGGTCGTTTGTGTAAATCTACCTAAGGAGGTATATGTAAATTTCACCGACAGTATGTATGGTAAGAAAAAGTATTGATGTCACTGGGGTTAGGAGACTTGAGGGTGGTCCATAGCCCATATGTAGGGGGTCCCTCAAGGGTGGGTTTCTCACCCCCAATCCCTCCTCTGGCTTAGAGAAAGATTTAAAAATCCCAGGATGACAGTGAGGTTCTCTTCATGAAAGACAACATGTACCCTACTGTTGCAGATGAGAAAATCCAAAGAATAATGGAAAGGTCAGCATTGGAGTGACATAGTCAATAAATCTGATCCATACCTGGCAAGATATGGAGGCTTTTCGGTGCCCAGTGTGTAAGGTGGATATGGTCAAATCTGTGGACTGCCAGTGTGCTTCTTAGTGATGTGGTCAGATCTGTGAACTGTCAGGTTGCTTCTCAGTGGTCAGCTCTGTGGACCTCCAGGGTGCTTCTCAGTGGTCAGCTCTGTGGACCTCCAGGGTGATTCTCAGTGGTCAGCTCTGTGGACCTCCAGAGTGATTCTCAGTGGTCAGATCTGTGGACTGTCAGGGTGCTTCTCAGTGGTCAGAACTGTGGTCAGGGATTGGGGGATGTGATCAGGGTTAGATCTTAATCATTTCAGTCAATTAGTGTCTTCCATCACATGGGAGAAAGCTCCGTGGCTTTGGAGGTGTGCTGGGAGGTGATCAGTTCCAACACAGTCACATCTTTTGACCTTAGCTGGGTAGCATCCAGATCAGTTTTGTTTGTTTGTTTGTTTGTTTCCTGTAACGGAATAGGTATTGAGAGAGTAACTATTTGAAGATACATGGCAAGATGCTCTTCTAAAAACTATACAGCTATGGTATAACATTACAAAACCAGCTATAGATGATAAAACAGTGAACTTGGCTGTGTTTCAATAAAACTTTACTTACAGAAACATCAGCAGGCTCGATATTTCTCACAGGTTGTGGTTTGCAAAAACTTGATTGAGCAAGTTTTGAACGAGCCCAGAAGTTCTGTTTTCTAATTTTCCAGTAATTTATGGACAGCTGTGAGTGCAGTGCTTTTGCCAGTATTTATTGTAAAAAGATGCAAGTGTACAGAGGTAACAGGTTATGACCAATATTTTTAAGGTAGTGTTAGGATTAGAGATGAACTAGAGAAAGAAATAGTAAAGTAATAAATAGTTAAGTTGTTTAGTGGGAGGAAAAAAACTTGTGTAACTAGATACTCCAAGGACTCTGAGATAGGGATTGTGAAATCCTGGGAAAGAGGCTGAGGGATTTACCTCTCTAGAGAAATAGCATTTAGTATTGACTGAGTCGGGTGCCCTGTGTCTAAAGTTCCACCTGAATTAATAATTCCTTCACCTCTAGCCTTGTGCTTGGGACGGTTTTCAGAACTCACTCTTCCTAAATGGAAACGACATTAATGGCCATCATGCAATAGACAGTTGGGGGTCTAGTTACACACTGGCATGTTACCTGGCCATGAGAGTAACGCTGGTCTTCACATTTTACACAGCGAAAACATGCTAACTGAAAGAAGCCAGAACGTAGTGTATAGTTCCATATGTGTGAAATATCCAGTCAAGTCACAGACACACAAAGGACCATGATTGCTCTAAAGGCTGAAGAGGGGTGTAGAGAAGGAGCCACAATAGCTAACCAGTATTGTCACTTGGGAAAGACTGATAAATGTGCTATTAGCTAGTGATTGTAGCCACACATTCCTGTGACTATCCTAAAAGCTACACACACACGCACACGCACACGCACACGCACACGCACACGCACACGCACGCAAACACACTTCGGTAATTATTTCTCAATAAGGTTAATTTTTAATGGCTTGGTGGTAAAGTGTTTCACTAGCACACACAGGCTCTGTCTGGGCTTTACCCCTGGCACCTCGAAATAATAATTTTTTAAAAATTAAATTAAGCCAAATGGAGAGCATCTGTTGTTTTGAGACACGTGCTTGCTGTGGGTTGTCTGTATCTTTTTAGAGGGTGTGTGGTCAGATGCTTAAGCCATAACGTCGAGGCCAGTGAGCTTTTCCTTTTGTTCTGTTTCAGTGGGTGCCCCAGCCACACAGACTCTGGATGGTGCATCAAGCCTGCCCATGGTGCATGGTAGGTTTCAACAACGGTGTCCACGTTTCGGGTGCAGTTCTCACCCCAAGTTAGATAATTCATTAACCCAGATTGCCGGCAGGGTTCCATTATATAAACCAGGAAGCACTTTAGTAACTACAAAGCAGTTAGTAAAACTTCTGTTTTCACAGAGTACATGACTGAAAACCAAACGTGCTGCCAAAGCCATAAAGTGTGCAGTGCATGAGTGTGGCGTCGGGCTTACAATAGCACTCTTAACTTCAATACTTCGTTTATTTACGATCTTGGCGGAAGGTGGTAGGTCCCAGGGAAGACCAGCCAACCAGCACACGCCACAGGGCATTCATTCCTGCTTGTTTTTGTAACTTTCAGTGTGGTGGCCAGTCACCTTTTAAAAATAAACAGTTGCGGCAAGTGGTCAGGAAGATGGGAAGATGTAGAGAAAAGATAGAAACCAAAGGCAACAAACTGTACAGGGCCCCGGGGATGAAATCCCTGCCAGGACTCCTTCCTCGGGGGACAACGGGCTTGAAGTACTATAATCACACTTCTTGAATTGTTTTTTGTTTTTGTTTTTTTTCCTCTGTTCTTTAGGTGTTTTCCCATATGTTACAGGAAACACACACACGCAATAGTTAACAAAACCTAGCTGCTGTATGTCACAAAGGAACATACTTCATTCCGGTCTTCTCTCCAAACGGTTTAGAATCTGATCACCGCCTTCCACTTTGGGTTTTGACCCTTAAAAGAATAGACAAAGGTTGAGTAGTAGCTGAGACAATTCACAAGGATGGGGGCTAGAGTCTGGATCTCCAGAACCCACATCTGTAATCCGAGTGCTACTGAGTCACGTGAGCGGGAGGCAGAGACCGAGAGTCCCTGGAAGCTTCCTCACAGCGAGCAGTAAATGTGGTGGGAGAACAGGACAGCAACTCACTTTCCTTTGACTTGGATTCACGCCATGGCACTCCCACACCCACACTGACACAACTGAACACATGCTCTCTCTCTCTCTCTCTCTCTCTCTCTCTCTCTCTCACACACACACACACACACACACACACACACACACACACACACACACACACACACACTGAAATAAGAAAAGGCTGTGGTGATGACTAAGGAGACATAGGAGTCTCTGTAGCCACAGGAGCTTGCTGCCAAGTTTGCCATTGCTGGGTTTGATCCCTGGAATCCGCTAAGTGGAAGGACAAACAAAAGAGTAGACTTAAGTCCATGGTGGCACTAATTAGACTTTTGTCTTCACAATGCTCGTGGTCTGTGCATGGTGGCCCTTCACAGCGACCCTGTAATCTGTGGCTGGCTTGTGACAAATGTATTGAAATCACGATATGAAACCCACATGCAGGATGTTATTATTTACAGGAGTTCAAAACACACAGGATCTTTTTTTCTCCTTTAGACTAATAATAGATAAGAGCATATTCAGCTTGCACAAATTTGTCTTACTATCAAAAATATAAGAAATGGTCTCATCTGTATGTGTGACATATGTATGCTTAGTATGTGGGCAGGAGACAACTTGACTCAGTCAAGAAGAGCAACCACAGAGACAGGAAGTGAGCTATGTTTTTATTCTAACTCAAGTGGCAACAGTGTCTTTCCCCATTGCCTGGGATCCTACCTCATAGTCTTATTTGATTGGCAAGTCTTAAATGCTGTGCAGGTAAGGGAGAGAGAATCGGTCAGCCACTTCAATCCCCAAATGCAGCAGAATCTTTGTGTGAATAGAGTTTTATTGGCAGGGAGGGGAGTAAATGTTTGCATCTAAAAGTCTGACAAGGCAGGGGAGAGAAAAAGATTTGAATTCCTTGTCATAGGACCACGATTGTTAGTATTTGATAGAAAAGGCTCATGTTTAGTTTGTCTTACAAATCCCTGTTCCTTTTAAAGTCCCTTCTTCAGACTTCTTCTGTCCTGTCTTGGAGTAACAAAAATGCAATGAGGAGGGAGTTAGAAAGAGCTGCCTCAGTGAGCCTGGGTTAGACCCAGCATAAGGAATCAGTCATTCCATCTATTGTATTAGCTGGGTTTAAGGTGAGCCTGCCTCCCTAGAGGGGTGGCCCCTTGATTAAGAGACTGACCTGGCTACCCTGTGATTTTTTAAAAACTTAAACGAAGGCTGGAGAGATGGCTGAGATACTGAATGGCACTGGCTGCTGTTCTAAAGGATCCAGGTTCAATTCTCTGAGGACCCAGATTCAATTCCCTGTGCCCCCCTGGGAGCTCACAACTCCTTTCCTGGGGATCTGGCCCCCTCTTCTGGTTTCTGTGGGCATTGCCCACATAGTACACAGATATAAACAGCTGTCAAAACCCCTATACACATAGAAATAAATGGAAAAAAGAATTTTTTAGCTATGAAATTAGTTGTTATCATTAGATCTGTCATTTCTATATTTCGAGCTAGAAATAATTTTAAAATCTGAATGCTGAACAATTCCGTTAAAAAAAAATTGTGTTACCTGATGAACTTAAATTCCCCTTCAAGGAGCTGTGGGCCCATTTAAAATTTAGAGTGGTCTTCTACCTAGAAATAGTCTGTGTTCAAAGTTTGTTTGAAGGTCTTTTAAAACTGAGTGGTGGTGGTGGTGCACGCCTTTACTCTCAGCACTCAGGAGGCAGAGGCAGGTGGATCTCTGTGAATTCAAGGCCAGCCTGGTTTACAAAGCAAATTCCAGGACAGCTGATAATAGACAATAGATTGACTGGATTTCTAGCAAAGCAAGAAGAGTTGATTCACACACACACACACACACACATATTTCATATATATAGTATATAAACATATGTAAATTTATTGACTCACGCAGGCACACCTCCATCTAAATTAGTGTACTAAAAATGACCATTAATAAAAGTCAGACTTTTGGAGATATTAGATGTGGTAACAACTCAGATCCATTCCTGGCTGCCTGGTGTTCACTCAGTAACTGTTGGCCCACTGCCCATTTGTTGTGTGACAAACTTTTCTTTGGTAGACACAACATATGTTTCTACTCACAACAGTTCAAAGGACAGATACCACCAAACTCGAAGTCCCAATTGGTGTGCCAGGGAGTTTTATTTGGATTACTTACAGGAATATAGGGGAGGGGTTACTTATAGGAGCAGAAATGACTCAAAGGCAGCTGTATCGCCAAGGCCACTCTGGCATGGTAATAGCTCACAAAGCTGGGACCCTGGAGCACACGGCACAGCCTGCAGGCAGCTCAACTGGTTGGAAAGTGTCCTTTCCACGTGACTGTTCTAAACCTCTGCTTCTCCCAGGCAGCTGGACCGTTCTCAGAGTCTTTGCAGCCTAGCTCTGTCTCAGACAAACTTTCAGCTGTTATTGCTTACTCTGGCAGAGAGGGGTCTGGAGAGTCTGCTCAGCTTCAGGGACTTCCTGGAGCTGTTTGAGCTTCCTGCAGGGTAGAATGTTTCTATCTTGGAGGAAACTGTTACACAATGCTGTTCTGGAGGTTAAGATAGAATGAAATGGTTTTCATCTCCAAGGTGAAAGTAAAGTGTCAAGTGGAAAGGAGTTCTTTGTCATCTCTGAGCCAGGGTGGGTGAGCCGTGTATCATGTAAGCCTGCGTTGATGGCTGCACGTTGCCCCAGTTCTAAATTGTGAATGCCATCACTCCACCTACTCCAGGTGGCATTTTCCTTCTTTCCCAGGTGGGAGGCTGGTTTGACTGAGCTCCTGGCAGAATTCTTTGTGCAGATAGATAGCATGTTGCTACTAAAAGTCAACCAGAGATGTCATGTCCCGTCTCCAGCTGAGCTCTGGGCTAAAGTGCAGCTCTCTTCACCTTACCTAGCTGTGGGCCAATCTCTTCCCTAGCCTGTAGCCTCACCTGGGGCTCTTCAGGACAGAACAGGAGTTTGGGGACACGAAATGGGTCTCCTCATTGCTGCTTACCTATCTCTGTCTCGAACTCATTTTGCTAGTTTTCATTTTGGCCCACTGCTAGCCAGCAGTTCAGAGTGCTGACAGGTGGCCAGGCATGGGTGTGGGCTATACAGTCCGGTACCATCTCTCTTGGAAGATCTGGCTTCTGTTTTATTTAAGGGTACTCTATTTCTGGTATTCTATTTTCTAGGCAGATAACTCATTGGGAAGTGGTTTTGAAGTTGTACCCCGTGTGTCACACAAGAGATTAACGGATGGGAGGTTTTAACTTGAGTACTTAAATCTATATAGTTTTAAAATGATATTTGAAGTTAAATAGAAAATAACCTAGAAATGGAAGAGTTTCTGAAAAGTGGCCAGTAGTAGCTACCTCAGCCAGGCATGGGATCTCATGCTTATAATGAATGCAGTCATTTAAGAAATGGAATCAAGATCAAAGTCAAGGTCATTGTTTGTTACGTAGAGAGTTCAAGGCTAGCCTCAGTTACGTAACACCCTATCTTCAAAACATAAATAAAATAATAAAATTAAAAGTGGCTCCCTCGATATCATCCTAGTAGATCGTTGTTATTTTGTCTGTGGAGTGTGTCTGCAGTGGTTTGTATATACGTGGGTATGTATGTAAGCTATTTGGAAGGAGACAAACGTATTTGTATTACTCCTTTCTGTCCCCATGAACAGAGCAGGGGTTCTCGTCGCACGTGCTGGAGCCAATAGAAGAACTTTCTTCAGAGGAGGAAAAAGGTAACAAATCACCAGCGTTATTTACTCAAATATGGACTTTAAGCCCAAGTCCGTGCGGCACCTCACACCACACTGAAAACGAGAAAGGCACTTAGATTTGGGCTGTAGTTTTGACCAATATGACATAGAGTATTATATCTTGTTCCCCTAATGCTCCTATATCCCCTGCTTTATTGCGTTTTTCTGCAGGTAAGTAACAAATTTTCCTAGTTGGGAAGCTTGAAAAACAAAAAACCTTTCTTTGAATATAGATATTCTGACCAGATGACAAAGGACACGTGTCTTGTATAGCAGATGATGTGAAATTATTGGTGTCACAGTGCTTTCTCACAGTGATAGTCTAAAACGAATGAGTGAAGTGTCTATTTTCCAAATCACTCTTGGTTCCAGTGCTGGGTTCTAACTGGGAGCCATAATCCCAGCCCCCAAATTACTCTCAGTGTCAGAAAAGAACACAGGATCTAAGTGCTGGGTATGAAATAGAGAGCAATGCGCCCTGTGGGGGGTGTAGCAGCTGCTGTAATGGGGATGATAAATTGGTAATGCTAACATATTTCCTTTGGCCTTTCCAAAAGTTGCTTTTACATATTTTGGAAGTTTATGAAAAATTGTGTAATTGTCTTTTCTTTTTTAAAATGTGTGTCCAAGGCAGGATTTCATGTAGCCCAGCTGTACTTGAAGTCTGGGTCCCCATGTTGTTCCTTCCCAAGGGTGGTGACTGATGCTGTGTGCCTTGATGCACAGGGATTTTTTTTTGTTTGTTTTTTGTTTATTTGTTTATTGTTTTGGTTTTTTCCAAGACAGGGTTTCTTTTTTCTTTTTCTTTTCATTTTTTCTCTGTAGCTTTGAAGGCTGTCCTGGAAGACAGGGTTTTTCTATGTAGCCCTGCAACTTTGGAACTCACTCTGTAGACCAGGCTGGCCTCGAACTCATAGAGACTCACCTGCCTCTGCCTCCCAGTTCTGGGAACACTCGGATTCATAAGGAGTGTTTTCTGACTTTAGACAGATTTTTGAAAACATGCTCCACTCAGTTCCTTATTCCAGGAGCAGGCATTGGATTCCCTTTGAGGGAGCATTGCAAGCAGTGATTGCTGCCCGACATGGTTGCTGGAAACAGAATTCAGATTCGCTGGGAGATCAATGCACACTCCTAACTACCAGCCATCTCTTCGGCCATAATATGTAGACTCCTGTGTTGATAGAATTTTACCATTTTTTTCTTATTTTTACAAAGTTACAAATTGAAAATTGACTAGACCAGTCCTGCTCACAATATCTACATGATATATATTTTCAAGACCTGACGTTGCTATGTTAATCATTGGCACTTTTAAAACATACACTTTTTAAAAAAATATTTTATTTATTTATTATGTATATACATTCTGCTTCCATGTATATCTGCACACCAGAAGAGGGCACCAGATCTCATTACTGATGGTTGTGAGCCACCATGTGGTTGCTGGGAATTGAACTTAGGACCTCTAGAAGAACAGTTGGTGCTCTTAACCTCTGAGCCATCTCTCCAGCCCAAAAAAATACACTTTTAAATGAGGTTTGTTTTCATGTATCTTTACAAGTTGCCCCTAACCATTTATTTATTTATTTATTTACTAGTTTCAATGGTAGTAATATGACTCTGATGGCCTCTTTTTTTTCTGAGCCTTACACTGGCCAACTAGAAGCAAAGTCCATGGTATAGAATATGTTTTGATTTGATTGTTACCAGTTCTTAGGACAGAGTTTTTTGTTGTTTGGTTAAGTGGTTGAATTTCTGTTTTGTTTTGACTGGTTTTGCTTTTTGGCCCTGTGGGTATGTGTGTGGTTGTAGAATTTTCTAAAGCATTAGCAGTTTCTCAGCCTCATGATGCTGACAGTGTAAGATTTCAGATGACCTCTGACTTTTAATGACATAATCATGTGTACTTCAATATTTCCAGCTGAGTAAGCTAGAATAGTAAAGTATTAAAAAGATATCTTCATGCAGGACTTTTTTTTCTATTTAATATGCAAACTAATTTGACTAATTCTGTCTTTTTTACAATTTAATTAATAGATGAACATTTTGGCCCGTGCTTCTAATACTAGCATTTCATCATTGTGACTTTGAGACCAGCGTGGGATAGAGTGAGACCTTGCCTCAAAACAAACAAACAAACAACCCCCCCACACACACACACAAAACCTTCATCAGTGTAATAGAATATGATTTAATATTGGGATCAGACAGCTGTCTGGAAAATGTGTTCAGCAAATGGCATTGTGTTTAAGATCTTCCACAAATCCAAATCCAGGTGGCAGCGGCGGCTAATGATACCATATGCTAAGGCAGGAGAGTAGCTGGGGGTCGGGGTAGGGGGTCCCTGTAGCCAGCTTGAAAGAAGGAACACATATCTTGCTGGCTTACGGCACGTGTCCAGGCCTTTCAAATGAAATGAGCCTGCTTGGACATGAGATCCCAGAATGACAGTTTATTTGTGAGACTTTTTTTTTTCAGATCAGGCTTTGGACTGTCTCTAAGATTCTGACCTGCCAGGTACTGGGTCTCTTTAGTAGGTCTTAAGCTACTCAACGTGAAAGTCCTGTTCCCTGTGCTCTTGAAATAGGCATGCTTTTAAAGAGGGCAGTAAAAGGAGAATCGGGTGAGCTGAGGCTGTAGTGACCAGGCTCCATTCTAGAACCACAAAGAGGAAAGAAAAAAGTGAAGTTGGGGATGGAAAATGGAAAGAATATGGCCTGGGTTTTTTTGTCTGATTTTTTTTCTTTGTTTGGCTTTTTGTTGTTGTTTTGTTTTAAATTATAGGTTGTTTCACTTACTAAGACTTTGTTAACATCTTTTCTGTTTGGCAAAGGCCTGGAAGAGAAGAATTCATCCACTTTTATGTGCACTTAGCTTATACTAAATTGATCTCCTTAAAATTCAAATGACACTCAAATAAGATTTAAATAGATTGGGCTTTTTCCCTTTATGTGATAAATTCTAACTAGGCCTAGAGATGAACTTTCCACTGACAAAACATTAAACATTAAAGCAATGTATATTACATCTGTCTCTTAAGTTGATTAACTGTAATTTGGGTAAGCAGTCAGGAGTCTTAGAAGTCACTAAGTTCTGAGGCAGACTTAAAAAAGTTTTAGAAGCCAAGATTATCATTATCAAATACTTCAAACCTTAAAATCTTTACAGATGTTTTTACTTTCTGCTTTAAAGTCATATGTTGTCATTTTCCACTTAGGGTGAATTTGTATAATTCTCTTTAAATCTTGCTTTGCAATAAAACCTTAATTCAGGACGAGAAAACGAACAGAAATTAAATAAGAAGACGCACTTCAGGAAAACCCTGAGGGGCAACCCCTCCTCGAAGGGGCTAAGGACGAACTTGGAGAAGGAGCTGGGCAAGAAGCTGAGGAGCTTCGGGATTGATGCCGTATGTTCATTAGTTCACTTTCTGAACATTTGCTTGTTCTGTTCTGTTCTTGAAACCAGGACACTGGAGAGCAGAGAGGAAAGCTTCCTAACCTGTCTGAGTTTAGAGGTTGCATGCTAATTAGACTTGCTGCATGCTAACAAGAGCTCTAGGTGGCATCTGCTTCCTGGTTCATTTCTAAGACTTTAACACCTACAAACTTACTTAGAAGCAGAGTAATAAACCTTGGAATAAAATGACATTGTCGTGTGTCTTATATAAAGATTAGGTAACTTTGTATTAGGAGCCAGAGCCTGTCTGGATGGCTGTAGTGCACTGATACATTGTGACTAACACTTTGTGAGATTCCCCTCACACAACCGCACATTACAGAGCCAGCGCTGAGTAAATGGTAGGTTTCATCTTGAAACCAAGTTGAAGCATCTGAGTACCACATCTTACATACAAACCCCTTGTGCTTTTCAAATCTTTATTAGAATGCACTAAATGTATGAATCTTAACAATTTGGTGAATTTATTTGTGTGCTGGTAAATACATGGGTGCTTACATAGCTGTATGTGGTGAATGTATATATGTATTATTGCAAAGGCATGCAGACATATACACACATGTGAACACACATGTGTGAGCATGAATGCACATTATACCATATGCATGCTTATGCATGTTGGATGGATATAGTATTATGTGTTTGTAGATGTGTATGAGAACCTGTGTATGTAGCTGTCTATCACAGGTGCTTGTGAGTAGACATATATATCAGTGTAGCTGTGTATTTATGTATACATGCATTTGTATGAACTATATGTTCATACATGCACATGTATACACATATATTTGAGTAAGCACATGGATACATTGTGTGTGTCCATGTTGGTATGCTTAAATGTAACATGGCATATTTCTAGCACCCTAGAAGGTCCCCTTTACCTCTTTCTTGCCTGTGTACCAGCTACTCTCCAACAAGTGGTGACCGGAGTTCACAGAAGTGGGACCATGTGCCGTGGACAATTCGGCACACCTCGCCTCCTTTGAGGGTGCTCTGGTCCATGCAGCGGGTGTCTGTCTCACTCACCAGTAATTGTTTCTTCAGTTGCTTTACTGTAGCATTGAGCTGTATGAATACCATGCACTTTTATCTCCCTTCTTGTAAGTGGATGCACAGGGTTCCCAAACGGGCTGTTCTAGCTAACTAGGTTTTGTGCATGTTCTCTGGTGTCTTTTTCCCCCGAGGAATACCTGGGAATGACTTTGCTGGGTCAGGAGGCAGACATGTCTATCCTCACAGCTGCTCCCGAATCATTTTCTCAAGTGTTGCAATCCATACTTGCCCTCAGAGGCACCGTGTCTTTAATCAATTCTTAGTATTGTCAGTCTGTGATTTCTTAGACTCTATGTGTGGCTGTTTTGGAATTCCTCTCGCCTTGGTAGTCTCGTTTGCCACTTTCATACAGCACTGCGCTGTTGGCTAACCAGTCATAAATAGGCACACCGGTATTACAAGCTCCTTTTGGAACCGGGAGAGTTTGTTATATGGTGGGGCATCTCCACCCCCTACCTTAAATAACCTTGGGGACCAGAAGAGCAAAGCGAATGTCTATAAGTGAAAAACATCCAAGGGTAATGACTGACATGACATCTTCTTCCTTCAGGACATACACGGCATCCCATGTGAGATCTTGAATAAATCACTCAAAGCCATGCAATTAGCCAGACATGATCTTGCAAAACAAATGCCCAACATTCAGCAAATCCGAGAATCCCTTGAACACCAGCTGATCTGTAAAATCGAGGAGAAGGTATCCCTGACCTCAGGTAAGCCTGCCGCTGCCACCTGGCACTGCATTGCTACACATGGGAGCTAAATCTAACAACCTTTTTTTACCATTTTAAATGTTTGCAAACTATGGCACCAGCAACTTTTCTTACTGTCTTACTTGAAATGCTGGGTCTTGGGTTGTATCTTGAAAGAAGCCCCGACTCACACTCTGGGTGGATGGATGCCTATAATCCTAGTGCTCAGGAGGTAAGGGCAGGTGGGACCAGGAGTTCAGAGTCCTTATTGACTATATAGCAGATCCAAGGCCAGCCTGGGCTACAAGAGACTCCAGCCTGAGGGGCAGGCTTCTTCTTTCCGACAACACCATGGACAGCATTTGTGTCATTTGGTTTTCACTTTACTGCTGAGGCAGTGGAGACTCATGAATGGTGCTTCTCTTCCAGATAGGCACAATGACCCTCCCATGATCATCTCTGCAGCTGAGGAAGCTCCCAAAGCCACCCAGCTTCCCCCACAAAGCAGGCCACTGGTCAGGCAGAGAGCTGTGTTTACTGATAAGGTGGCTGTCCCAAAGTGAGTATTTCCAACTGAAGTTGCTATAATAATAGGTCACTGAAACAATGGGCATTTATTTTGGAGGCTGCACCAGGGTGTCAAAGGTCAAGTTGTGTAGCCAGAGCTCACACGGTGAACAAGCTGTGGCCTCTTCCCCTTTCAAAGGCAGTGTCTTAGCTGCATTTCTGTCTCCGTGACAAAGCGCCATGGCCAAAGCAACATATAAAAGAAAGCATTTGATCTGGAAGCTCATGGTTCCAGAGGGTTAGAGTCAGAGACAATCATGGCTGGGGGGGAGCATGGCAGCAGCCGGCAGACAGGGAAGTTGGAGACTTTAATGGAGAGCTTACCTCTCAATCCACATGTACAAGGCAGAGGGAGAGCTAACTGAGAAGGGATGGGCCATTGAAACCTCACAGCCAGTCTCCAGTGACACACCTCCTCCAAGAAAGTCACACTTCCTAGTCTTCCCAAACAGGTGCAGTGGGGACCAAGCACTCAAACGTTGAGCCTATAGGGGCCATTTTCATTCAAACCACCCACCACAGGTAGTGGTGGACCCAACCCTTTGATTCCATTTAGTCCAGTACTTCCCAAAGTCCTGCTTCTGGACACTTCTGGACGTCACCACACTGCAGGTCTGTTGAGTTACACTCAGTTGGTAGCAATGAGTCATATTTACAACTCGAGTACACTCTCTGGAGATAACCAAAGACTTTTGTGTTTTCCATAGACGTTTGTGTTGGCTATATTACTTACTTACCCGCTTGAGAAATACCTTTCTGTCTTCCTCTATTTTTTTCTTTTTTTTTTTAGACTTAAGAAAAATACCAAAGAAATTCCTTTACTCAAAAAGTTTTCAGCTACCAAGTGAGTACTGGGAGGGGCTCTGGGGGTGGGTGCAATGGATATAAAGTGTCTGAGCAGTCCTTTTGTGGTAAAGTGGGGCTCACTGTGATTAAGTAAAGCCACAGTGGTTATTCAACAGGGTTACTATAGCTGCAGTTTCTTTCCAGCCTGGTCCCTCCCACAGCTGATCAGCCCCAAATAAGCACACAGAGACATACTGATTGTAAAACTGTTGGCCAATAGCTAGGGCTTCTTACTGGCTAGCTCTGTCTTAATGATAAACCCATAACTACTAATCGATGTGTTTCTACATGGCCTTATCTTACCAGAGAATGCCTGGGGTGTCCTATCTTTCTGATCTCCACATGGCATCTCTTCAATGCCTCTCTCTCCCCAGCATCCTCCTCCTCTCCTAGTCCCACCCATCTTCCTGTTTCTACTGGCCAGTCAGTGTTTTATTCATCAACTAATAAGAGAAACATATGTACAGAAGGGCCCCCCCATCAGGTTTCTTCTCAAGTCCTTTGTGATATATTATTTGAGACATGTCTTCTTAAGTCACCCTGTCACTCAGTAGCATGTCACCACATCACAGCCTCCATTAAGAAAAAGGAACTTCCCCAGTGTAATTTTTTAACAAGCACATTTAAACAGAAGGGATGGTGTTTCGGTGGCTGGGTCAGGTGATATTTCAGCATTCTGCCTCCTTGTATCGGCTAACGAAGACTCTGACGGCCTTCTGCTGGGGTCCTTAGATGATAGGAATCTTTGCTCATTCACTCATCAGCTGACATTCATTAAGTGCTTGTTTTGAGCCTTATTTTAAAAAAGGATCTGTATTATGTGACTCTTTCTTGTTTACAGAATATTTTTGTGTGTGGGGGGTGAGAGAGTGAGAGAGAGAGAGAGAGAGAGAGAGAGAGAGAGAGAGAACTTGAATACAGTGTGAGTGTAACCATACTATACACATGCTTTGGCATTTATGTGAGGTCAAAGGACAACCTCGTATGTCATACCTGCTCTCAATCTTGTTTACTACAGTCTTTTCTTTGTTACTTACCGTGGTTTCCAGATATTCTTCTGCCTCCATTTCCTTTGTAGGAACACTGGTATAAATGTATGTTATTGTGACCAGTTTTTTTTTTCCAACTTTTTTTTATTTGAATTAGAAACTGGATTGAATTACATGACAATCCCAGTTCCCTTCTCACACCCGTCCTCCCCTACCACCCACCCAACTAAACCCCTACCTATCACATAGCCTTTCTGCTCCCGCTGGATGGTGAAGCCTTCCATAGGGGGTCATCAGAGTCTATTGTATCCTTTGGGGTAGGGCCTAGCGCCCCCCACCCCCCCTGTGTCCTGGCTCAGGGAGTATTCCTCTATATGGAATGGGCTCCCAAAGTCCACACCTATGCTAGGGATAAATACTGAACTTCTACAGGAGGTCCCGTAGATTTCCGAGGTTTCCTTACAGAAGCCCATGTTCCTGGGGTCTGGATCAGTCCCATGCTGGGGAGCAAGAGTTCCCTGATATTCAGGTCAGCTGTTTCTGTGGGTTTCACCAGCCTGGTCTGGACTCCTGTGCTCTTCACTCGTCCTTCTCTGAATCTGGGTTTCAATTCAGATTGGTGATTAGTTGTGGGTGTCTGCTTCTACTTCTACCAGCTGCTGGATGAAGGCTATAGGATGGCATATAAGTTAGTCATCAATCTCATTATCAGGGGAGGGCATTTAATGTAGCCTCTCCTCTGTTGCTTAGATTGTTAGCTGGTGTCATCTTTGTAGATCTCCAGACATTTCCCTAGTGCCTGATTTCTCTGTAAACCAAAAATGTCTCCCTCTATTATGATATCTCCATTCTTGTTATCATCTATTCTTCCCCTGACTCATACTTTCTGCTCCCTCATGTCCTCGGCATCCCTCTTCTTCTTCCCTTCTCATTCTCCTAGCTCCCTCCCCCCTCTTCCCGTGCTCCCAATTTGATCAGCATATTTTGACCCTTTCCCCTTCTCCAGGGACAATGTATGTCTCTCTTAGGGTCCTCCGTGTTTATTAGCTTCTTTGGCAGTGTGGCAATCCTTTACTGTAACTATGTCTAAAATCCTCATATGAGTGAGTACATGTCATGTTTGTCTTTTTGTGATTGAGTTACCTCGAACATCGCTTAGAATGGTTTCTTCTAGTTCCATCCATTTTCCTGCAAATTTCAAGATTCCATTGTTTTTTTCTGCTGAGTAGTACTCCATTGTGTAAATGTACCACATTTTCTCTGTCCATTCTTCAGTTGAGGGGCATCTAGGCTGCTTCCAGTTT